AACTCGGGAACCAGGAAAGCTGGGAGGCTGAAATTTTCAGGGAATGTTCCAAGCACAAGTACGGCAGAAACCCATCAAATTCAATCCCCAGTCATACGTTGTTCTCATGTACGGCTCCGTGAAACTTTTTGGTGGGTAAATGACTAACTCGGGAACCAAAAAAGCTGGGAGGCTAAAATTTTAAAGGATATTCTCAGCCTGCATACAACTTGAAAATTCCAAACCCAGCCCCCAAGTATGCTCCTAGGTCACGTGCAGCCCCGTGAAAGTTTTGGCGTAAAAATTGCTAACTCGAGAACCAGAATGGAGGCCCAGATTTTAGGAGAATATTCCTCGTCCAAATAAAGCTTAAATCTTCAAATTCAGTCTTCATTTATGCGTGATTTTCGTGTACGGGCAATTAAATTTCTGGCGGGAAAATTACTCATTGAACAGTTGGGTTACATTCAAAAAACACCGCTACACGGAAATAGTTTATTTCTTTTTATGCAAAATTTATGATGATTTTCGGCATTAAGCACACAAGATAGGTGTAAAGAAACAACCGTTCATGCAATTAACCCAGTTCAAGTTTTGTGCAAAAACGCATAATCGCACTGGCTCGCCTGGTGCGTTCCAGCCTGGGTTTTTTCTTCACGGGGCTGGAAATGCATTTCCTGCTCGCCCATGCTAGTGTACAGGTGTGTGTGTGTGTGTCTGTTTTCGCGTATGTATGTGTGGGTGAGTGGGATGTGTGGTTGTGTCCGTACCCAATTAACTCGGTTTTTAGTTAACAAGCTCAAACTATAAAAAAATGTTTCACGACCTCCCAGCAAGGGAATAAATATATAACCATTTCCCAACTCATCTTTTTTAACCTACAACTCCGAAAAGCCAGTGAAGATTGTTGTTCGATATCATAAAAGGTACATAATATAAATTAAGAATGAGTACCTCTGTAAATAGGTCGACTAAACTCAGCTCATGCTATTAACTTTGCTGTAGTTAGATCTGAAGTACAACTTTCGGTCACTTTTATAACTTCAGAATGGAGCAACCTGGAAGCTCAAAATTTAGGAGCTAAATTTACCTGCAAAAGACGCGAATGATTGGCTCATATTTATTTTTCTGATTTTATTGTTCATGATTTGTGAGCGGAAATGAAATAGAGATTCACGAAACAAAAAAACTTCGGAATTTTGAAGCAAAACAAGCTACTGGTTCCATTCAAGCAGTGAATCTGTTTGAAAATTATCAAGAGCATTAGCTAATTTTTACCAGTAGGAGTTAGAAGCAACAAAAAAAGAAAACACAAGCGT